GGGGGGGGGGGGGGAAGAAGGAAAGAAAGGCAAGGCAATACAAAACAACAACAAAGAATAATCATCATGATAATAAATAAAATAAATAAAATAAATAAAAGGTAAAAGGAAGAAGAGGAAGAATAACAAGAAGCAGCGAGAGACGGAAAACGAAACAATTGGACAGAAAACGGAAAGGGAAGGCCAAATTCCAAACAAATGAAAACAAAAACAAAAATTAAAAAAATGTTTTCCATGATGCAAAACTCCTCCCTTTGTTTCTCGCCGAGAAAACTATTGTTATTATTAGTGACCCCCTTTTTTTTTTTTCTCTCTACATGGTTCCTGTTAATCTTGCGGCGGCGAGAACGTAACAAAAACAACAAAAAAGTTACCTTTGCGTGCTTTTTTCTCTTTTACTTTGTTTTGTAATTTTTTTTTTCTTTTTTTTGCTGAGTGGAGTGCGTTTGCTTTTACCTTATTTTTGTACTGTAGTAGCATGCAGCCCGTGCAGGTTTTTTTGTAAAATGTAGACTCCTGCGTCTTCAGGCCGAGTTAATATGCTGTAGCCACTGTAATGGGTGCGCGTGTCAGGAAATAACGGTAATTTCGTTGGATACGTATTGCGACGTGGATTTTTATTGCCGCGCCATATTCTTGTGTTTACTGTTGTTGTTGTTGTTGTCGGTTTTTTTTTTTTTTGTTGTTGTTTTGTTTATTTATTATTTAGTTTATTTATTTGTGTTTTTTCTTAGTTATTATTATTTTTTCCTTTTGGCTTATTTGTTTGCTGCTGCTTTTTTTTTTTTTGTGTGTGTGTGCTTTCTTCTTTCTTTTCTTTTTTTTTTTTTTTTTTTTTTTGATGCTTTTCTCTACGCTTTGCTTTTCTTTCTCCCTCTCCCTCTCTTACCTTTTTTTTTTTTTTCCTGTCAAGGAGGGATGAAATGAGAAGGCTTGTCAAGATCCGCCCCCTGCTTGGCTGCTGGTGGGTGCAGCGTCGAGGTGCCGTGGACGGGCAGGCCTTCTTTGAACTCTACGGGAGAAACCCTGACGATGACGATGTGGACAATTCACAAAGTTTTGGGACCTCTATTTTTTCGTTGGCTGTTGGCGACGCCTTGCCGGAGGATACATCAGCAAAATGGATCCATGCCCTTAATGAATTCTCCGCCCAACTGTATGCAAGGCCCAACGAGAAGGTGCATCGTTCCGTGGTGGGGAAGGCCTTGGAGGCTCTGGTAGCATCGACATTATTGCCACATTATAGGCGGTCACGATGCAGTCGGCAGAGATGGGAGTCTGCGCTTTGCGTTTGGAACCATGCGGACCAAACGGATCACCGTGGCGCTGCGCTCTTAACAGCTGTGCTCTATTACAACGGTAAATACGATGCCGTGATACAGCAGGTGGAAGCACGCTGGTTGGAGGCATCTGCACGTTCCATTAATACGGATGATATCCCACATGCTTTGAGGCTGATGAGCATTTATGTGCTTGCCTCATCTTTTAGAGGGAGAAGATGCTTCCCGCGGTTAATGATGGGAAGGATGAAAGAGCTCGCCGAATTTGCAGGGCGTACGATGCGTGATGGAAAGGCGACCGACGTTGCACGGGAGTACAAAGTATTCCTTTGCGCACTGGATTGGTACTTTCATCACACGGAGGATTCGAAGGAGAAGCATTTTGTTGCCTCCACATTTCTTCCTTTAACGCCAAAAAAACTTTGTTCTTATGTGTTTTCTACGGAATCTGTGAATTTGGATAGTGTAGGGAAGATCCTGCCTCCTGCTATGCTTTTTCGTGCTGGGATACAGTATGCGGCTAAGGGAGAGAAGGAAAACCTGTTGAGCCTCTTTACGGACTGCAAACAACTTGAATTATCCCAAAGTGGATTTCGATTATTTCAACTTTCGACACGGCTTGGGGACATGATCTCTCGGATGTCAGGTGTGACGACACGTGGTCTGTTGGAGGTGGTTGGATTCTGTGGAACTGCCCTGAGTTTTGATTCACTTAAAAAAGTTGGTTCCACCCCTCGCTGTCGCAGTGCCGTTCTTGAGGTGCTTAGTCGCATGGAAGGACCAGATGCCTATTTTGCAGTTCGACATGTCCTTTTTCACCACGGTACCGCGGAGGCGTTGGCTTTTCAAGAGACACATGGAGATATTTTTTCTGGGGATGCAAAACTTGTATGGCGAACTGCATTGCAATCGATAAAGGACTCTATTTCGCAAGGCGATATCAATTGGCGTGAGTCATTGCCCACGGCGCTGCGTTTATTGAGTGATGCCGGTATGAACTCAGTTTTCTTTCAACTTCTGAAGGAAAGCCATAGCGAAGGTGAAGGGTCCTCTCTTATGACAGCTTCCGCATTGGGACAGGCTACACGTCGCTCTGCACAATGGTGGCGCTCATGTGATGTACTTGATATGATTGTATCGTGTAATCTTCCACGAACACGAGCTGATGATTTGTTTCTTAGTGATGCCTGCTTACAGACTTTGTATGCCTTGCGAGATGCCAAACGCTGGAAAGAAGCACTTGCCTTCTACACATCGCTTGCCCCAGTAATGCCGGAAGCGGCACATGGAGTGCTTTGTTCTGTTGTCTGTGGCATGCCGGCGTCAACACCTTGGGAGGAGGCGTTAGCTACAGCTCAGAGCTTTGGTAACGTCCCTGAAAAGTTTTTGAAAACGCTACTGTGTGCTCGAGATCCAGATTGTGTCAGTGCTTTGCAACACCAAAGTTTTTATTCTTGGCGGTACATGCTCCAAGGCTATGCCGAGGGTGGTCGCTGGCGACATGCACTGAGATTGATTGAGGGTTGTAAGGAGGTGGAGTTGGATGCATGGATCTTGCTTCTTCGCTCAGCGCAACGCGCTCCAATTGGTGATTTGTCTTGTGAATTTTTTAAATGTCTTCCGCAATTAGTTTGGAGTCATAAGGCTTTGTTAAGGCTAAACATTTTAATTGCCGAGGGTCATGGATATTTAAAGGAGTTGCGTGACGCCTTTCAGAATCAAAAGGAGAACACTTTGGTGGCAGAGTATGATGCGTTGGTATGTTTTTTTATGGAGGGTTCTTTTCCCTCAAAGAAACTGACCTTTACAGATGAATATGTTATTCACCGATTGCTAATGTCTCCTGCACCTTCTGTGGGGTCAATATGGGTCACTGTTGGGTGGACCAATAACACTTTAGAGGTGTTCAAACGCAGATACATGGGGAATATGAAATCCTTTGTCCAAGGGCACTACAAGATTCATGCTTCATGTATTGCTAAGAAATACTGCAGTAATCGAGAAGGCACTTTCACGCTGCGTGTCATTCCACCTCATGCGACCCTGAACACAAGTGATACACTCATTTCCGTGATGGGGGATGTGATTGTGGCGTATAAGCCGCCTGGGGTAGAGCCACATAGCTACGCCCGGTTGGTGGCTCAGCGGGTTCAGGCGGGAGTGATGCATTACTCCGCATATCACCTGAGCCCGTCCTCATGTGGTCTGATTCTCCTCTTGGCGTCAACAATTCCTACGAAAGCTGTGCATCTTGAAATGAAGGTGTTGGCTCGGGTTTTTCCTGTGAGCACCATGTCTTTACCCCTTTTATCTACCGAATTTTACAAGGCGTACACGATGGATGTGATATCGGGACCGTTTTCGGACGGCGGCGTTGTGGTCAAAGCCAAGTGTTGCTCTGACTTGGATGGACTTCTCGCGGGATCATTTTACCGTTTGACGGAGAGCTTGGCTGGTGAGGGCTGGGGAATTTCTTTGCAGGAGAGTGGTACTTGTAGTGGTGCCAAAAAGGACGAATTCGTATGTCTCACGGAGCTGGTTTTGTCTATTCACCACGTGGGTTTAGAGAAGGAACGAATGTACTTTTCTGCTCGCATTCCTCCCTCGTGTATGGCTCAGCTCGCACCAGAGGAAGGTCGCCTTTCTCATATTTTGTGTTGACCGAGTTTCCTTTGCAGATATGCACAAGCCCTTTTTTTCTACCGTTACGGCGAATATTACTGCTGCTGCAGCTGCTGCTTCTGCTGCTGCTTCTGCTGAAGGTTTGTGCGATTTCTTTTCTATTTTTATTTTTTAAACCTGCATGCAAATTTTTTTTTTTTTTTTTTTTTTTCTTGTTGGTTTAGGAGTTAAGAATTTTTTCACTGAGTCTATGGAAGCCGTGACACATATTGTGAACCCGGGAGGTGAGGGGGCGTTTAGCTCTGTCGCTGATGCCCTGAATGCAGCCGTCTCTGGTGAAACCATTGCTTTAAAGCCAGGCCTGTACGAGGAATTATTGAAGGTGGCAACGGAGGTCACAATCACGGCAGTACCAGATGATTCCTTGGCAGAAAGTGAGGCTGTGATCACGAATGGTGTTGTTATTGTTGCCAATGTCACCATGAGAGGGCTGCAAATATCTGGCAAGATCGATGTTCGCAAAGGTCATGCAGTTATTGAAGACTGCGACATTCATCATGGCTCTGATGGTGTTCGTGTGGGAGAAGGCGCAAAACTCACCATTCGACGTTCTCGTATTCATCACTGTGAGTCTGGCGGTGACGGGATTTTCTTTACCCCTGGGTCATTCGGAGAGGTGGTGGACTGTGACATTTACGAGTGCCGCGTCAATGGGATTCATGCTCATAACGCTTGTGTCACCGCTGGCAACAATCGCATTCGTGATGTCCTCTTTGGCATTTACTTTCGCGGACAATCAACAGGGGCTATGGAGAAGAACTCGATAGAACATGTTAGAAAGTTTGGCATTTACGTGGCGGAGGGAAGTGATCCGGTGGTTCAGGGGAATCAAGTTCGGGAGTGCGGAATGCACTGCGCCTTTGTCTCTCAGGGCGGTAAGGGAATTTGGACAGAGAACAATT